GCAGGAATGAAGAGCTGGTTTCATAGCTCCTTGCATCTGCAAACTGCCAGTTCTCAAGCAATTTTATTCACCTAACCAATTCATGACACAGAGCATCTGAATCAACTACCACTACCAAAACAAAACTGTATTTTTCCTAAGACAGTCCCAGGCTTAAGCCAGTTAAGCAAAAAGACAAAGTTAATTTAATCACCATCTTTAAGTAATGTCAAGCAATAACATCTTTTACACTGCCTTTACCCCTGCTTATTTGTTTCTCACTATGTAAGAAACCTCCAATACAAAATATGTCCAACTTAGAATTTATACCTAATTGCACTGACTTACTACCATGGGGAGAATTGATTATTAAAGAATAGTATTTCATGTGAATGAGAAGGAAATCCACATCTGTGCTACATGAAAAGTCAAAACAGGCAAGTCAGAAGGATTCCTTTCAGTCACACAATCTTAGATGAAGCCAGGAACACCACATAAAAAATCAGCACTGACTTAAGTAGGATGACTCTCAATGTGCCTCCAAGTACAATGACCTTGTGTTACAGCCTTGCATTATCAGCACAACAAAAGGAAATTAGTCTGTGTCATAAAATACGGTAGGTAGAAAACACAAACAAATTTCAGCTGTATATACAATTCAAGCAACGAACAGGAGATGAGACAGGAGAAAGGAGGCAATTTATTAACATTTACATACATTCACATGTTCCTACATTAAGGTAAAGCCAGAACTCACTTCCATACTTTTCTTGAGAAAGTAATCTTTGACTTTCAATCTGTATTTTACTGCAACTCACTTTGGCAGAATATCTTTGGGGGCTGTAAAAACACTGAATCCCATCAGAATCACACTTCGGATGACTCATCTTGAGCCAACATTTTAATGCAGAATAAGACGTACACCACAAATTCGAACTCATCTCTCATCTAAGAGGGTGGCCCTTCCTCTTTTCCCCATCACCTGCCACTCTGAGTAGGACCATGTGGGGACAGTTCGTTTAATCAGAGAATACAAAATATTTTGCTTGCTTTTCTAAGACTGCCAGCCACGTAGAAAGCTGCACTATGACTAACACAAACGTCAGTGTTTTCCTAGTGTCCTTGACATGACCTAAGAGTTACAGCATTTCACTGCTGCGTGAACTGCTTTACACATTATCTCTTACTGCCATCTACCGACATCTCTGCCAGACACGAACCATTCCCAGTGTGCAACGTTCAGAGGAGGCAAGTCCCAATTAACATCAAATTTCCAACTATGTTCTCATATTCTTTGCAGCAATCACTTGAATGATAAAACTAATTACCATGATATGTTTTTGGATAGCTGCACAGATAGGAAAACCTTCCTCTAATTAATTATCAAAATTAATTTAGAATTAAAACAAAACATGCAATTATTCAGCTAACATGGTTTTCATTGCTCCTCTGGCTGGCAAGAGGGTGCCCTTTGCTGCTAGCCTCTGTTCATCAGCCAGGCACCCTTACTCTGAATTTAGATTCATCTTGACTGTCTTCTCTCTGTTGCACCCACCATGTACCACATTCAGTCATGCATATACAGAGTAAATGTGCTCTAAGAGGGTGCACACCCTCACAAAAAGTATATGAAACCCCTCCAAACAGCAAAAAGCCCCAAGGCAGAGCAAACCTTCAGCATCCAACCTATGCAATTCTAAATAGGTTTATTCCTGATACTTGTTCGAAACAACAACAAAGTATCACTGACAGCAGCCACTCTTTGCAACATTTTTACAGCATGTAGTTTGGAGTTACTTCATTTCATAAAGGGCAGGACCTAGGACCCACTTTGCAGCTCTGGTCTGACAGAGCAGCAACATACTTCAGACAAATTCCATGAATGTGCTCTCAAAGGTCAGTGCTGAGAACATGCCCTGGTGGTCAAGAGCAAAGCAAGTGCCTATGTTCAGCCTTTGGAAGACAACTAATGGCAAGAACACACACATGAGGAATTTTACCTGAGGTTTCCATATCAACTCAAGACATCCAGACCTCCTTAACCATGGATGGGATGTGAGATAATCATGCTGGATCCTGTTTCTCACTCCCAGGAAGCCAGACCTGTGTCACCCCATGCTGCAGTATGGCCCTGGGGGCTGCTCTTCACAATCCCTGTGCTA